ACTGGGTGTTATATGAAAACAATGAATCATGGATCACTACATCAAAAACTAATGATGTATTGTATGGTGACTAACATAACATAATAAAATAAAATTTAAAAAATAAAAAGGTATAAAAAAAATACCTCAGAAAGATAAAAACACCTCAAAATTATATTCTACTACAAAATAAGCTTAGTGCTTGAAGTTATCTAAGTTAAATCATGTTTCCTGAAATCGAAATAAACTCAAATTCCTTATGATATACATTATCCTGAAATATAGGGGATATATATTTGGGGGGGGGATATATATTCCCAACAAGCATTGGAAACAATGCCACTTAAGTTGTGTGTGACCGTATTAAAAACAATAAACCAACAGCAGCCTACAAAGATGCAGTCTCTGCACATGTACACGTGTGATATGCTGACGTATCATCTTGTCTCATGTAAAACAACCATAAAAGGGCATGAGAGTTGTAATGACTGGCGAGAGCATTAGTATTAATGAGTAATATTCAGAATTCAATACATCAAAGGCATATGGCTCCTGTTTGCAAACCTGCTGAATACCACTACTTTTGACCCTGAATTCCCAACCTGGGACAAACTGGCCACAGCACAGATCACGAGGACAGGCTCTGGAGCTGAGATTGTATCCTGTCTACTTCCTAGCTTCCTAGTGTGCCTTGGGCAAATAACAATCTCTCTGTTCCTCAACTTCCTCACAGGAAATCTGTAAAATGAGATAAGATGTAGAATCTATTCTAAGTTTTAGAAGAATGTATGTTAAACATTCGACAGTGTGTGGCATAAGAAGTGCTCAAAAAAGACTTTATAAGACTGCATGTAGCATTAAAATGATGACACACTGGCCTAATAAGCATGTCACTGGTGATCTTTGCTAATAGCAGCCTTGTACTCCCGTGGTATATATCCTCTGGTATCTATTTCAAAATCTGTACTTCTGCATCTTTCTGTGAAATGACTTTGATGCCCAAAATGAAACAGAAAGTACAACTTTGTTACACACCTACTGAATTCTATTTTTTTATAGTTCCAATGCAAAAATGACCAACAAATAAGATAAATATTGGTAGAGAAAGACACCAAGTCCTTGATAATAGGCCACAAGAGGGTAATTTTCATGTTATCCAAAGAACCACACCAATCATTAAATGTAGAACAACACAATCTCTCAAATGATAAAGAAAAGGATAAATACCCTAGAGAGAAACTTGTTGCTATCTCATTTATTCAAGAGACATATGACCTCTGAAATGAATCAAACAGGAAATGAGTAAATTATGGTATACAAATTATATTTAATATTATTAGTTAATATTCATTTTTTTAAAAATACACTACACAAAAATAAGTCAAACTTATTTTGAACAAAATGCAATTAAATACTAAATAATTAAAGCAGATTTCTACAGGTTTCTATACAGTTTTAATTAGTTTCTTAGTCTTTCAGATGTCTTACATATAAACTTTAATATTTTAGGTTATAGTAAGAGCTTACACTGTTGTATGGTTCTTTGTTTAATGGAAATTAATGTGTTTGGAAAAACTCATTTTAAGAAAGACATATGCATGCAAAGAGATAAAAGGAAATAGTAAATATCCCTTATATTTTTCAGTATTGATCAATAAAATGGGATGATAATACAGTTTCAGTGCCACACACATGAACAGCCACACACAGACAGCAAAATCATCTTGCTTACCATGCCAAACTGCTGCATGTCCATCCCAGAGAGTTGCCACCGTCTTCCTTGCGCCATCCCATAAATTATGAGAGTAGGCTTCTTTTAATACATTCTTCCTCTTATAAATGTGTAAGAAAATAATAGTAAGATAGAGAAGAAAGATAGTAAAGTAAGGAAGTATTAAAAGTATTAGTGGTGTAAAAACCCACAAGAGATAGTTTGCAAAATTCAAATAGTCCTCCAACTGCTCCACACCAAACCATTCTTCAAGTATGTGAATCAGACAAGTCATATAGGGCATAGAATCCTGTCCTGTACCACAGGTTTGATTTTTGTCTATCATTTTTCTTTAGGTGAAAATGACAAATTCAGTCTCTTTCTTCATTGTCATGGTAGGTCTTTAATTTGGCCACTAGAAGGGAAAAATAATCCAGTGTTATTCTCTTCACAGTTGAAAAGTTAAATGTTTTAGTCTACATAAATACTGCATAGAATCATTTCTTAATACCAAAAATGAGTAGATTGTTAATGGTTAACTTTGTTGCAGACTTCAATGTGAAAATTATAAGGTTTCATTTGCATGCTCACGAAGCATGTCAGGGTTAGCTTTTGAAGTAACTCACGAGCTATAATTGAGAGAGAAAAATAAACCTGATGAAGAATGAAATTTCAGATTGATCTTAATAATTTGACTTACATCTTAAGTGGATCATACTAAGTTTCTATCTTAAACTAGGTTATGTTGAGATAACTGTTCTTCACAAAGGAAAGCATCAATATGTGATTCAATAAAAGTAATCCAATTCTTTAGGAAATGATGACCTACATTTTTGGCTACTGTCTTTTACAAGCAGGTTCACAAAAAATTCTCTGTTCTTTTAACATTATGCAATAATAAAAATTTATCCCTGCCATTTTTATCTTATAGTCACTAAAATTTCTCTTAAATGTTCAATGACTAAAACTATAGCCGTATAATTATTTCATGTCACTTAGCTCTAAACCAGTCACTTAACTTACCAGAAATTAGGTAAATATCTTGTCCCAAGCTTCAGTGTATGTGTTCTAGAAAACAGAGAATACAAATGGAAGAAAAATATTAATACCTAAAGTGTCCATAAAATAAATAGCAAGAGACATTCACAAATGTGTGACAAATATTATAGCCCCACACTAGTGTATCACAGTTAAAAATTATACTCATGTTACCAGTGCTTTAATGAGGACAGCTCTACACACCATTTATTTCCATTACATAAAAACCCACCTGAGACTTTTTTTAAAATTCAGAGCTATAAAAACCTTTGCTTCTTTGGAGAAAAAATATGAAGGTAAAATGTGTAACTGACCATGTCTCTTCTTAGTAACTTTGCCAGATAGTAAGCTGATGTCAAATATGGATATTCAATGAGATAATTACATTAGGTCTTAACGATCATGTTGTCCTACACAAAATTTCCTTCTTTCATTCCTATCTTCCCTGGTTCTGATTCTATTCTTAGAGATATTTTGTCATTACTCCATGCTACATAATCTTTATGAAAATCATCTCAAACCCTTTATAGCTGAGACAGGAAATGAGTAAATAAAGAAAGGGATGGAGAGGGAGGGAGAGACAGATATACAAGAGCAGTTATATGTTGTCTTTATGCCAAGATTGTCTTGCTGACTGACTTATTAACAGGGCATACACTTTGACTTAGTCCTCCAGGGATGGAAGACTTAGTCTAATTTAATTTCCTTGTAACCAACAGCATTTACTTGTGAGAAATGTAGGCCTGCTATGGTAACAGAAGGTAAACACAACATACATTAAGCCCACAATCTGGGCTTTATTTTTTTTTTTTTCCTGAAGTATAGTTGACACACAATTTTTGTTTCAGGTATATAACATAGTGATTTGACAACTCTATATGTTATGCTGTGCTCACCACAACTGTAGCTACCATCTGTCACCATACAATGATGTGGGCTTTAATTACATCATATTCTCATCAATCCATCTAAAGACTTGAACCCTTAATGTATCAGGGTTTGAAAATTTAGAAGGCAACATAAACATAGTGAAACTTACTACTTTTAAAATGAGAGCTTCCCCCACTGGGAGGGCTGGAATCACAAAAATGGAAAGTAAGTGATGTGGAGAAATTAGAACCTCAGGCATTGCTGGTGGGAATGTAAAATGTGCAACACTGTGGAAATCCATTTGGCGGTTTCTCAAAAAGCTAAACATAGAGTTACCAACAATTCTACTCCTAGATACGTATCCCAGAAAACTGAAAACATGCATTCACACAGAAATTCATATATGAATGTTGATAGCAAAACTACACCTAAGGGCCCAAAAGTGAAAACAACACAAATGTCCATCAACTGATGAACGGATTAATAAAATATGCTCCACCCCTACAAAAGAATATTATTCAGCCATAAAAAGGAAAGAGGTAATGGTTCATGCTACAATAGGCATGAACCTTGAAAACATACTAGATTTAAAAAGCCAAACACTAAAGGCCACATTCTGTATGATTCCATTTATATGAAATACCCAGAATAGGCTAATCAATAAAGACAGAAAGGTAAGTGGCTGCCAGGGGCTGGGGGAGGGGGCAATGAGAAGTGACCGCTAATGGAAACAGAGGTGTCTTTTGGGAATAATGAAAAGGTTCCAGAATTAGATAGTAATGATGGTTGTGCAACCTTGGGAATACCCTAAAAACCATGAAGTTGTACATTTTAAAACGGTCAATGTTATGGTGAATTACACCTCAACAGAAAAAGAGATTTTAAATATTGCTAATAAATTAAAATTTATGACAGTCTCTCAAATATGTTAAAAGGAGCTGTTCCTAGGCCTAAAAACCAATCATTTTGATGATCTGACCCTTACTGCTTAATACAATTGCCCTAATAATCTGGTCTCATTTCTGATTTTAACAGGACCATAACATGTTGTGATTTTAAAACCTTCTTTAGTACTTCCCCCCCACTCAAATTGGTAATAGAACCATACTTCTTATCCTCAATTACACTCTGACTTACCAAACACAGTACAGACACCGATCAGCAAAGAGGGACATCTTCATAAGTAGTCCCTGAACAGTGGCCCAGTGCTGCATGCAAGGACCTCCTCCAGAATGGTCATCCTCGATTTTGACTTAAACCCTTCCACAACAGAAAACTGAAAAGGTGTCCGATTCCATCTTCAAAACCATCCATCAAACTACTAAAAAGATCTTCCACATATTTATCTCACTGTAACTTTTCCCTACTGCACCTAGTTCTATACCATAGAACTTTTTCCATTAGACAAACTCTTAAGTTTTAACAAAGCTATGATGAGCTGCAAAATCCCATTTTCTGGTCAGAATCCTTAATTCTTTGAACCACTCCTCAGACCCTAGTTTCACAACCTTTCAGCACTCAGGTCACTCCCCATGACTGACTCTAGTGGTCTGATATTGAGAGGAGCATGTACAGTAACCCACCTGTACCTCGACTTGCTAAGATCTGTAAAACTGGGATATAATAGTACATATACTACATTAGATGATGATAGGTGCTATGGAGAAAAATATACAGCAGGGTAAGAGGAAAATGGAGGTCTCTAGCAGGCCAGAGGGTAGGAAGGGGGTTGCTATGTTATATATAGTAGCCTGGGAAGGACTCTCTGAAAGGTACATTTGAGCAGAGAACTGAGGAAGTGAGGAAGCAAACTATGTGGGTATTTGGAAGAGAACTCTGGCCAAAATAAAAGTAAATACAAACGATGTGTACTTGGTGTGGTCTGAGGAGCAGCAAGGAAGCAGGCTGAGGAAGAATGATAGGGAGAGCAGTCAGAAATGGGCAGAGGGGTAGCACTGTAGAACTTTGTAGGCTTGCTTTTATCTTAAGTGAGATGAAGAAGGCACCAGAAGACTGAGACTGCCTAACTTGGGTTTTAAATGACAGCTATGTTGAGAATACACTGCACAGGAAACAAATAGGAAGTTCAGGCAATAATTGAAATAAGTGATGAAAGTGGCTTGGACAACGGTGACAGAGTGAAGGTCTGTAAGAGATGATCAATTTCTAGATATACTGTGAAGATATGGCCAACAGGAATTGCTGATGAATGTATACAGAACGTAAGTGAGAGAGAGAAGTCTGGGATGACTACACGGTTTTTTGGCAAGGTGGGTTTGTATTCCAGGAGACTCTGCCACTTACTGTGTGACCTAGGAAAGTTACTTACCAAGTCAGCCACAGTCTCTCCATCTGTAAAGTGGGGATATTAACAGTACCTGTCTAGTAAGACTGTTGTGAAGAATATATGTTTAAAAAAAAAAAAGCTTAGAGGAATACCTTCCACTATATAAGCACCAGGTGAGTATTGCTGGCATCATCATTATTAGCTTGCTTGTGCAAAGATGGAGTTACAGGAAGAACAGGTTTGAGAGTGTGATAGAGATCAGGAATTCAGTTTTGAATGTATTAATATTCTAGTAGACATCCAAGTGAAGACCTTAAATAGGCAGCTGGTCATAGAGATTAGCAGGAAGATCAGGTTTAGATAAATATATCTGGGAATTGGCAACATATAGATTGTATGAAAACCATGAAAGTAAAAAAGATCCTTCTAAGGAGGAAGTATAGAATAAAAAAGAGTCCCCAGGACTGAGCCTTGGGGCACTCAACATTTTAGAAGTTGGGAAAACAATGAGGAACCAGCATTCCCCTTCCAGGAGTGGCACCTTGAATGTCAAAGTAACAAAGTGTTCAAGAAGAAAGGAGTATTCAGCGGTTTCAAATGATGTGGAGAGGTCTAAGAAATGATCATGGATCATTGGGTTTTACAACACAGAGACATTGACAAACCCTGATAATTAAGAACTATTTTGATACAGTGGGGATGAAAGTCGGGTAGAGTAAATTCATGAAAAAGTAAGAGAAAATGAACTGGAAACAGAAAATATGGACAGCTCTTCAGAGGAATGCTGATGCAAAAAGGAACAGTGAAATAGGTGAGTATCTAGGGAGGAATGTGGGCCAAGTTTGTTGTTGTTTTAAGATGAAAGAAAACATAGCAGTCTTTAATACCAATGGTAATGCGTCAGTGGGAGAGTAAGAAACAGATGATGCAGGAGAGGAATAATTGTTGAGACCAGTCCTTAACTAGGCCAGAGGGGACAGAATACAGTGTATTGGGCATGGCTCAGACAAGACTTAAATCATTGGGTTATTAATTCATTTACTCAACATGTTTACTAAGCAAATAATTTGCGCTCGACACTATTCTAAACACTGGGGGACACACTGGTAAACAAAATCATGAGAAAACATGTAAAGCACTTACAATAATATGACTGGCACATAGTAGGCACCTAACAAGTACCACCTAAATAAAGATAGACCTTAACTATGTTCATTCAAATCTTTGACAAAAGATGTGGACCAAGACAGTGCCCTAAAACTTGCCACTCAAGAACTATGGGAAGAGTCTGAATAACAAGCTTTTGAGTTGATAAAATACTTTTGATAATATGAGAGCATGGCTTTAGAATTCAATGAATGCAACCTCTTAATTTTGCAGAAACCAGTTAAAAAGAGAGAGCCAAGCTGACTTGCCCAAAGTTACTAAATTAATTCAGTGAAGAACCAAGAGCCAAAATTAAAACCCGATTCTACTTCCTACTCTGGTTTTCATTACACTTTTCTTTAACATCTCCCTCCCTCCCTCTCTCTCTCTTACAGAAAGGCTGAAAATGTTAAGATTCCAATCTCTGTCTTCCCTCTACTTATGCCTAGCCCTTCTCCCCCTCCAATTTAACACAGACTATATTTGACTCCATACCCATTTATTTTAATCCAATTAAAAAATATAATTGTTAAAAGATGTTTTGGAGGAGATACAATATTTTAATTACCAAAATTCCAGGTCATTTCCTAACAACAACAACAAAAAATCTACAATTAAACATAGTCCTGTGCATCACATATAAAGAAAATATCACCATGTTGATATTGATGGTGAGGAACATTTACTGTAATTGACTTTATACATTTTTAAAATAAAAGTATTTCAAAAACTATTAAATCAGAATAGAGGATCTTTTGTTTTCTAGAAAACCTTAAGGAAATAAATCTATTTTTAATCACCTATTATCAGGACTTTTAGCACCATGGATGGCAGCAGATCCATTTCTTACTTTTAGTATATAAGGCACATTGAAGATACATTGAAAATGCCAATTAAATTAAGTACTCACTGAAGTAAAATTAATTTTCCCTTTTCCTTTCTGCATTTTTAATAATTGTTTAACAGGGGTTTAGGACTCAGTTCTAGTGAATGAGCATTCCACTTCAAACTAAAAGTAGTTTATCTAGTATAAATTAATCTATTTGGCAAACCTAATCATTTTATCTTTAAAACAATACCTTTTAGATTCAAGCTTCAAACTCTAGGTTCTATTATGAACTACCTTTCAAAGTTTTGTGTCTTGTTTTTTTTTAAACCCCAGAATGTCCTTCGACTTCTAGCTAAAATCTTCCACTCTGATAATTACTATTCTACCTTTTTTTCTTAACCTATCCTCATCCCCCAAATGTGGCACATCTATACCGGTGTATCTGTAACTGTGCAGCACTCTTACCTCCTTGAGTCACTAAAATGAGCCTATCTCCGACATCAAAGTAAGACAGAAGTAAGATTGTGGAAATAAACATTTCATTTGAAAATTAACCTTCTATTTCCATCCAATAGTAAATGCGACCAAAATATCAGGGACTGTCTTAAATATCCGGATTTTACCCTCAGTTATACATTCTAAAGAAATAACAATGCCATTTTGGCATTAATAGCACAACCAAGTCCTGAAATGCTCCAACCACCTTCAAGTTCGAACTTGCTTCTCTGAGGAAGCTGCCCGGACAGTCTCAACGACTACCACACACCAAATACGAACTGCCTTTTTCAAATTTAGCAGTGGTGTTCCAGTTTTCGGCATCCTGGTTAAGTGCACATGCATTTTTCTTACGCAGCAGCAGCTTGAGGACAGACAGAGACCTGTTCTACAGGCTGCAAACCCCAAGGACCAATGCAGTGTCTGCCGCGCACAAAGCAGGTACCCACTAAAACTACTAATAGTATATGAGAGGTCTGATATACACAGTTTCATTTAGTCCTTCCAGCAGCCCTAGGAAGCAGGGACTATGCATCATTCCTATTTTACAGATGACCACAAGGAGGCTCAGAAGGGTTAAGTCGCTTTCCCAGAGCACACAGGTAGCAAAGGAGCATCGAACCCGGATTCCAAGCCCGACTTGTCGTGAAGCCTTCTTAACCACTTATTCCTGCGGCCTCCCGAGTACAGAAGGCTCGATTCGGATCCTGGAAAGAAAGGTCACCGGGCAAGCCCAGAGGCTTCTGCCGAGGTTCTGACACCTCGCCCCGCCGCCCAAGTTGAGACGAAACGAGGTTTTTGAGCGCGAAGGGGGATGCGCGGTGGAGTGAATGGGCTCGTTGTGACCCAGGCAGGATCACCCCTCCCCGCCACTCCGATGCCCGAGCTTACACCAAGTGCGGCGGGAAGCCCAGTCCGCCCGCCCCCGCCGGGGACTCCGGGGCTGCCCCACTGAGACTAGACGTGCGGCCTTGGCCGCTCTGAGCCCCGCGCGACTGATGCGGAGCCGTGCGCCCGGCGGGGAGGAGCGCAAGGTGGCCAAGATGAGGACCGACACACCTCGGGCGGGAGGGGCAGAAGCGACTCGCCCTCACCCTCGAGCAGCGGCGGGAGCTCTTCGGTGGCTCAGCGACCGAGGGAAGAAGAGAACATTTCAGCAGCCGGTTTCCACCCCCGAGCAACCTGGGAAGAAAAAGACAAACGGCAGCTGTAGCCCGGACGGCGTTTAATGTGACACCTCCCATCGCCCCGCCTCTTCCCGTGGGCTCCGGGAGCCACTTCCGGTGGCGGCTCCATAGCCCGCTCCAGGCTCGTGCGGCCCCGGGCCCGTTTCTAACCCCTGATGTCCCCTTGGTCACGCCGGCGGGACCTCTTTTCGGTCTCCAGGAACCGAGCAGAGGCCGGGAAGGCCTGTCCCGTGCCGTCTCCCGCAGAGCGTCCTGCACTGAGGTGGTAAAATGTGCTGCGAGAAGTGGAGCCGCGTGGCTGAAATGTTTCTCTTCATTGAAGACCTGGAAGAGGATTATAAGATTCTTTGCCTCTGCTCCAGGGCATTTGTGGAGTAAGTAAAAACGTGTTCCTCTTCATCTCTACCGCAGTTATTTCCCAGAAATGTAGGCCTTGCAAACTACTTGGAATTGGGATCCACCATCGGAGTGTATAAGACCCTTGGGCAGGGTGATGTTTCAGAAAAAAAAGTCCTCGGGCTTCACGGAGAGGTCGCCGATTGCCATTAAGTGAACAAGTAAAATCTACTTTGTAGGCTGCCGTGAAAAAATGTGGTAGCTGATTCATTTCATTTTAATGAGGGGAAATTTAAAAATCGGGGGAAGCGAAATGTAAAATGAAATCTCCTTAGTGGCTGTGACATCACAAGTTGAAGGCTTTAAATAAGTAAATTTCGTGGGTTAACATTTTTTAAAACCTTACGCAAATGCGCTGAAATAGAACTAATTACCTGAGATAAAAGACTTAACTCTAATTACATCAGTTTTTGAGCTGTATTTTTGGAAAATACGTGTTTGCGGTAAACATTGCACTGCACGGAAGATAGCCAGTGGGCAGGAAAAAACTGACTAAAGAATTGGACTCCAGGTATGGCTTTCTTTATATTAGGTGTGTGAGTTTAGCCACTTGAATCTTTTTCTCATTCCTAAAACAGGTGTATCTACCCGTTATCTCACAGGCTGATTGTTAGATTCAACTTGTGGAGGCAAATTTTATGTGCTAGACTTTTAATATAGTTTATTGTAGTAGAGTTTAAGTTTGAAGCAATTCTTACTGTTTGTCATTGTGTTTCTGTGGGGTAATCGGAAAATTAATCCGAAAGGAAATGAAACATTTTTAAAAAGTATTATCTTTGTATACATACATGCACATATTCATTCAGCAGATGCTTTTTGTGCTTCCTTGTATTAGCTACACTGGTAGGCACTGGGGTACAAGACACAGCCCGTCGGAGCCCTGGGTGTTACACGCAAACAATGAATCATGGAATACTACATCAGAAACTAATGATGTAATGTATGGTGATTAACATAACAATAAAAATGTTTGGTAGGGAAAAAAAAAAAGACACAGCCCGTCCCTACAACCTTTGAGTTTACTTTCTAGCAAAGGAGATCACTTAGCTAATTACAGTTGTAAGTACTATAAGAGAGAAGAAGTACAGCTATATATGATACAGAAACCTAACCTTTCTCCAAAGAGATCAAAGAGATTTCTTGGAGGAAGTAACATTTGAAAAGAGGTCTAAAGAGTGGCGATAAACAGGGGTATATTTGAGTGGTAGGGAGCGATAATCAGAACTCTGTGTAAAAAGCAAAAGAAAGCCAAGACTACATACTTAGTTCTTCGCCTGAAGCTGGGTTGAGTCATGGGGCTGTCTTCATGAAGCCTCCTTTCCAAAAAGAAGAGAAAGAGAATGTAAGACCCCTACAAAACAATATGCTACTGGATTCCAATTAAAGCAACTTTATTTAAAACACAATTTAATTGCCATATAAATCACCAATTACTTTGAATTTAGTCTTTTTTGAGCCAAAACATTCATCCTTTAAATTTCAGATAATTTCATACATATTCTTAAAACTTAGAAGCACTATTTACTTTTAGAAACTACATTCTGAGTTCAAAATAGGTGAAGAGAAAAGAATGGCTTTTTCCTTTAGATCATTCAATGCTCAAATTATAACACTTTAGAACAAAAAGAATGTGATCTTGGAATTATTTCCAGTAGCCATATGAGAAGTCTTTGAGACTTGGAGACATGCTAGAAGTTCAGAGACTTATTAGTATAACCCTACTTTCCAGGTAGGGAAAAGGTCTGTTTCACGGTCTTGTTTGTTTGTTTCAGTCTTAAAACAACAGATTGATTGATAGCAAAATTCTAGAATAAATTATTAAACTGAGAAAATAGTCCATGTAGCAGAAAACAGAAAATTAGCATTAGCAACTCAATCTCAGTATTGAGTTGATTCTCATAGTGAGTAAGGTTATTGTACACCTCTCCTCAAAGGCAGGAAATAGAACCTAATATCGTAACTAAGTTTTATTATCTGAGGACATTATATTAATATACTGCAGTCTTATGAGCTCTAGAATAATAATTCTATTTCATCTGCACATTCAGGTTTCCATATATTATATATATGAAAAAAACATAATTATGATGTAATGGAGCTCTTAAAAATAATCTTTATAATGGCTCAGTAGTAACATGAAAAAATACCTTGTGTTAATTAACGTATCTGAATATAAAATACCTACACTATGATTACAGTTATGTAAAATTTTGTGTTGTTGTGTACAAAGCCTAGAATAGAACATAGGAAAATGCTGAAATGATGGAGTAGTAGATTTTTGTTATAAAGTTTGTGCTATAAATAACAGGCTTTACTTAATTTTTTTTTTAGTAAATCATTTTAAAATAATTTCAAACTTGCAAAAATAGGTCAGTAGAGGAGTAAAGAATGGGTTCAAACTTAAAAACAAACAAAAAACCAAAAATAGGTCAAAGAACTCTCATATTCCCCTCTCCCAGATTCACCTAGTGTTAACAGTTAACTGCATTTGCTCCATCTCTCCCTCTGCATACACACAGACACACGCGCGTGCCCCCCTCCTCCCCTGGATCCAATCTTTAGTCTTTTTCTGGACCCAGCTGCACCTATGATTCCCTATCACTCCTAAATACTCCATTGTGTATTTCCATAAAACAAGTGTTTTCTCTTCCATAACCACTGTGGTGGGTGCACATTTCCTCAACTTTCCCAGTAGTGTCTCTTTTCTTTCTGATCCAGAGTTCCACATAGTTTCTCTTACGTTTACTTATGACTTGTCAATCTCCTCCTTTGGAAAAATTCCTCACCCTTTCCCTCCCTGTCATGGCCTCAGCATTTTAAAAAATGCCGACCTTACCTTCTGTGCTGATCTTCCTTAACCTGGGTCTATCTGACATTTCAACATGAACAGAGCTGAGCCGTGCCTTCTTGGCAGGAATGCCACAGAAATGATCCTGTGCTTGGCTCTGCATCATTTCAGTCACTTGCTGTGGACCCATTTCACCCCCGGTGACATTGACCTCCGTTACCTAATCATGTTGCAGTCTCATAGCTATCTCTGCTGTGAAGTCACAGTGGTTCCCTTTGTATGTATTAGTATTTGGGGGGAAGGTACTCCAGTGTTACTAGTACCCTGTTCCTGCCTGAATCAGCTGCCTCTGAAGGTTGCCAAAGAGCAATTCTCTGTCTCTGTCATTCTACTTTTAGTTGACATTCTGTATGGAGCACTTTCCCTTCTCTCCCCATGTATTTGTTTATTTCTTTATTTACACTAACATGGACTCTGGATTATTCATTTTATTAATAAGTTCTATTTTATTATTCTCATTTATTTTGATGTTCGTATTGTCTCAGTTTAGGTGGTATGGGCCCCTTGAGGTGGCTTGATTATCATTTTAATGTGTCCCTGGCATTCTTTGACCTCCTCCTAACCTGGCACAGAAGGTGACCCAGTCTTATCTTTACAATTCATGCTTTAACCAGGAGCTGCCATTTCTCCAAGGGTACCTTGGCTCCTTTTAGCAGAGTATAGTGTTCAGAAACCAAGACTTGGATGCTCATTGTGTTCATTGCTCCTGAGTTTCCATTGCCTCTACACTCTCTCAGCAGACACAGGATGTATCCGAATTTTACATACATACATAAATACATGTATGTGGGTGGAAAATCTTGGCTATCATTATCTTTAGTGTATTTACTTATTTGCTCAATGTAACAAATCTTGCAACCATATTAGTCTTTTCCTCCACCTGACATCTAGTGCCCCATATCCGTGGGTACTGGTGGGCATACCATTGATATCCTCTGTACAGCTGCTGATCTCCCCCACCACCCTAACCGCTTCTCCATTGTCCAATGTTCTTGGGGGCCAGTGGGCATGCTGCCAAAGCACATTTGCACTTCATCCACTGGCTTGTTTGCTGTCCTGCTATGAGTCATCACCTACTTTATATTTTATAAAGTATCAAAAATAAACAGGAGGATAGTGAAATATATCAAGTATACAAGAATTTTATTTTGTTGTATTTATTGTGGCCCCATTAGAAAAACAGTATTAGGTAATACTTAAAGATAGCCTTATTATGGCACTCCTGATGGAGTTTATTATAGCTGAATTTAACGGTAGAAAGATAATAGCAAAATTTTATTTTTTTAAGTGTTCTGTTAAGTTTATTTGGGTTAGATAATTTCCCATCTTAGCAGATAGAGAAAAAATTTAGAAGTAGATATGTAAAGAAAAGTTTAATCATTCACTGTTTTTTTAAAAATTGTTGAGACTGGGATGGCTGTCTGGCTCCGTTGGTGGAGCATACGACTCTCCATCTCGGGGTCTTAAGTTCAAGGCCCATGTTGGGCTTAGAGCTTACCTAGGTAGGTAGGTTGGTAGGTAGATAAAATTTAAAATTGTTGAGGCTGGATTGTTTTATGTTTGAGTTTGATAAAATATTTAAATAAGAACTTTGGGGTTAGTCCCCAAAACAGCCTTTGCTTGGACCATGAATAGCTTGTCTACTAGGCAATGATAACTTGGCCTATTTGCAAATGGAGTAGGGTCTGCATGTGGATTTATATATATGTAAGATAAATCTTTCCATTTTTATGCTTACTTTGTACAGCAAATTTAGAGAACACTTCATTGTTCATGTATTATAAGATTGCTTCTTCCCCCAAACCAGAACTACCATTTAATTTTAATAATTAGTAGTTACAGTTATAAATGCTTCCCATGTGATATATGTTAAATACATATACTATTCTTATAACAATTTCACGAGATATGTATTATTACCTGTATATTACAGATGAGGAAAATATATTAGCAAATTGCTTTTCTGTTCCTTAACCTTTTTAATCTGTGCTGCCTCAAACGTGTTTTTTCTCAAGTTAATAATTTAATTTATTTCAATATTGACTGTTTGATTTGCTTTGTAGAGATCGAAAATTGTGCAATTTGGGATTAAAAGGCTACTATGTCAAAGGCAATGGCGACAATGCAGGTAATACAGTAGAAAACAATATGGCCCTTTTTGTGCTCAAAGTAATAGTGTATTGATTTTAAATATAATTTGTTATAATACTATATTAATTTGTTGGCATAAAATATAAATGACAACCAGTAATCACCGACAGTCCTTATTTTTTATTATAACGTGGTTCTAGAACCCCTGTCAAAGCAGATCTTTTCTTTTTCTGTAGCTAGCTCCTGTATGGACTTGAGGCAGCCTCTTTTGCTCTATGTAGCATTCCTTCCTGAGCTGTTGCCATTAGATAAGAGCAAGCTAAAATTTGAAGCTTTGAAAAGTAGAGAACATAAGGTTTTTTCAGCAAAATTTTATTGTGTTGGAAGATAAACAGGGGCACATTAAAATTTTCAAGAGTTTATTTGAGCTTATAACTGTGCAACTCGGGCAGTACCAGCTCCCTAGATAGGAGCACCACTCCAGGACAGGAGTTAGGGGAGGGGTTTTTATAGAGAAGATGTAGAAGCAAAGCAAGGAAATTATTGATTGGCTCTGCCTTAAGCAATGACCTCATTTGGGGAAGCCTAGTTAGCTGTTTGTGATTAGTTGATCTTAGCTGTTATTTTCTTAGATTTGAGTGCTTTGATTCTGGCTTAGGTGTTTGGTTTGCTTACATAGACAACGAAGGCCTTCAAGCCACCTCAGTCTAATGACCTCCTTGTTTAGATACTTTAACGGTTGTATAGATAAATTATTCAGGATAAATGCCAAGTGAACATCCATAGTCTTCTGCTTGAAGTAAAGAGGCCACAATCTGGGTTAACTTTCCCAAGTAACAAATAGAATTTGTTATGTATTTTGAGTCTCACCTACTTACCTGAAAACCGTCTTGCTCTCTCTTAGACTTCCCTCAATGACCCCATTTGTTCTTTCCACACAGATCTTGTTTCTCTAAATACAGGGAAAACTAGCGTGAGTTCTAGGCTAAAGTCAGCACAAGTAAAGCGCATCATGTTACCCTTAAAAATCCTTTAACTCTCACAATGATGGAACAAATCACATTTCTTCAGTGGATCACTGAATGAAGTGTTTAGTTTGTATTTCAATGTAATGTACAAATAAGGTTTCTTTAGACACCAGGCTCCTACTGAACATAAAATATGCATACCATGAAAGGAACATAAAAGCACATTTGTTTTTCCTATTTGCTCCCTCCTGAACTTTCATAAGTTCATTGAATGGAATGGTGAGTGGAGTCCCCTTTATTATTTAGGTAGATATCTTTTTCCCAATTTCGTTTAGTAGAATTTATACACAGAAGATTCCTCTTCTTTACAGTCTCCCATTTTTACTTTGTAAGATTAACTCTTCTATTGTCTACGATCATTTAGCTAGAGTGTAGCTCAGCCCTAATTGAGTATGCTAATGTATAAAGTGATATTTATCTCACATTTTAAATGGTTAATAGAGCATTTGAATGGCATTTGTCCAATTAATGGTGTGATACACTTTTATATAACCATATTAATATAAAGCTAAACTTGTTTTGTTATAATAAAACAGGTTTTCTGGGAGAATCAGGGAGTTTGAAAGGATCTTCCAGTTCAGAGGATTTCAGACTTTTAATAGCTTTCATTAAATCATTTCTCACTCACAGTCACAGACTATAAATCCCAGTTGTGATTGAAATATCCATGAAGGGCCTAAAGACATACCTTTCACCTCTCTTATTACTAGCTCCTAAAATAAACTCCACAAATCATCATTTTAAATTCACTGATCTATGGGGCACCTGGGTGGCTCAGTCATTAAGCGACTGCCTTCAGCTCAGGTCATGATCCCAGGGTCCTGGCATCAAGCCCCGCATCGGGCTTCCTGCTCCACGGGAAGCCTGCTTCTCCCTCTCCCACTCCCCCTGCTTGTGTTCCCTCTCTCGCTGTGTCTCTCTCTGTAAAATAAATAAATAAAATCTTTAAAAAAAAAAAATAAATTCACTGATCTAGTTTACTAATACTGCATATAAGGAATGTCAATGTAAGTGTTTTCCCTGTGGTTATTCTGCCATGTTCCCTCTTATATCCTCAGTGCTTTGCACAGTGCACAGCACAGAGGAGATGCTCAGTAAGTGTAAGTTGAATGGGCAGCTGGTGGCAGGCAGAGCCAGACTAGAAGTTGTCTCCTGATTCTTAATTGGCTGTTTTTTACTAGTGTATATTACCCCTTAATAATCATAACATTTGCATAACTCTGGGTCTCGGTTCCTCTTTAAAATGAGTATGAGGGGTGCCTGGGTGGCTCAGTTGGTTGAGCGTCCAGCTCTTGATTTTGGCTCGGGTCATGATCTCAGGATCCTGGGATTGAGTCCTATGTTGGGCTCTCTGCTCAGAGGGGAGTCTGCCTCTCTCCCTCTTCCTCTGCCCTTCATGTGGGCTTGCGTGTATACGTGCACGCTCTTTCTCTCTCTCTCAAGTAAATAAACCTTTGAAAAAAACCTGCATCTACATTTTCTCTAAAATGAAGCTAACAAATGCTGTCTGTAGGAGACCAAGCTACAGAAGAGGAGGAAGGCGGCACTGCAGAGTCACATGACAGTAAAGGCTTAGGCCTAGATGAAAGTGAACTTGATTCTGAAGCTGAACTCATGAGAAGTATGGGACTACCACTTCAGTTTGGTGGGATATCTGCACATAAGAATTTTGAGGTAAGTTATTTATATTTCTTTTTCTTAGTTTTCTTCATAAGATACCACAAAGAATTTTTTTTTATATTCATAAACTAGAGCATTCCATCTCTTTTTAAACATATTTATAAATTAGTTAAAACTGCAAGTTTTAATATACATTCATGTATGATTTTTCCTCCTCCTGGAAACATAAATAGTAAGATTAACTTGTTTGTATAACTAAAAACCCAGGATGGGGGTTTGACGGTGTATTATTTAATTTAATGTTTAAAATAGACTTGGATTCTCTTTCTATTACAGTTTATGAGATGCATTTTATATTCAAGTTATTTATCTTATGTAGGTGTCTATGAATACTAGAAATAAAGTTAAAATAAAAAAGAAAAAGAAAAAACATCAAAAGAAGTACTTAGATGAAATTATGAGAGAATCTTGGAGACAAGAATATGAAGAAGATGACATTTTGGCTTCAGATGATCCATCTTCAGTTGAACAGTATAAGAGCACCAAAACATGTAAACTTCAAACCAAAAAAGACATTGAAACTGAAAATCTTCCTGTTGAAAATACATTATCTCCAAAGCTAGAAATCACAGAAAAATGGGAAAAGTATTGGAATGAATATGGTGGAGGACTATTATGGCAAAGCTGGCAAGAAAAACATTCAGATCAGATACTATGTTCTGAACCTTGGAACAGTCCTGATATAAAGGAGGAATGGGAACAACATTATAGTCAACTTTATTGGTATTATTTGGAACAATTTCAGTATTGGGAAGCTCAGGGTTGGACTTTTGAGCCCTCACAAACCTGTGAACCAGATACTTGTGGGTCTAAAATAGAAGTTGACAATGAGAAAGATGAGAATTGCATGAAAGCAGACTTAATGTCTTCTCCATCTCCATCTGTTACAATTGATAGTGAAAGCTCTAGTTCAAGTGATAAAGAGCATAATGAAATCCTTGGTGGAATTAGTAATATAAGTTTGAATTCAGAGGAAGTGGAACAGAGCCAGTTAGATTCTTCAGTAAGTTGTGATGGACGTCAGTGGCTAAGTGAAGTCAGCAGCAGCAGAGAATGCCCTGCTTCTGGCCAGAGTGAACCATGTAATGGAGGAACCAAGAACAGCAGCTTGTCTGGGAACAGAAGCACAAACCAACCAGCTCAGGGTAAGATTGGCCAAGTTTTATCCTATCAAATAACAGTTGGGAAGATTAACCCACTGATCAAAATAATTAACACCTATCCTTTATGGTAGGGTTACACAATGCTAACTACATTTTATAGTATCATATGATTTAATCCATATATCACAAGTTGTTTATTACCTTTTCATGTAAATAAAAAGAATATTTGTTAAGGGTTCTCAAAAGTATCATTCCTTCCACTTGTACCTAGGTGGCCAGTGAATTAAAACTTGGAACTCCCTTGAGAAATTTAATAGAGTGTGGAATTTCCAAGTTTCTGTGGAGCAAATGAATTTATAGGAGGCATATTAGAAAATGGTTCAGAGTACACAGTGGACATCAGACAAATCTGATTGTAAGTCATACTGGAATTTATTTCAGAACAAATGAAGTCTTGCTCTGTAGGGAATCTCAACAGGGCATGGTATTAATTTATAACTGGAAGGATTGACTTCAGGATAAGGAACTTGGTTGACTCTAGCCTAAGTGATTTAAAACAAAACAAAACCTATCATGCAAACTGGTGTCTAAAGAACTAAAGAAAGGACTAAAGAAAGCCAGTGAGAGGTGTTTTAAGAAAAGTCAGAGGTTGGTAAGAATGCTCTTTCTGGGAAGGAGGATTCTAACTGATGGCACCAGGAAAATGAGAGAGGAGAAAATTTTTATAACTTCTGAATTTCCAGAAGGCCACTAAGATGTCTTCTTGGCATCCTTGATGTTTGGTGCTAGAAAAGTCTGGTTTATAATATAGGACTTTCTTCTCAGCCTCATTCCTATATGAAGTAAAAGGTTTTGGCGTTTTATTTAACAATTGGATTTGCTTTGCTCCTCAGATTGCTGATCTTCATCTAGCTGAGAGTTTCCTTTAGAGAGTTACTGAAGGGCTCTACCTATTTTTTAATTTCTTTTATCTCTGTGCTCTTCCAGTGGAGCTTGCTTAGGTATTCTCATTCCTTTCTATTTTGGTGTTATTTTCCTATTTTTGTAAATAATGTGATTATTTTACATTGGTCTTTTGATACTCTTCTATACTTCCCTGATTACTTTCTATGCTGATTTTGACCATAAAACCTGAAATATGTATACTGCCCAATGTATTTTCCCTTGTCTTACTCCTTCATGTTATTCCTTTGATCATCCTCCCTTATCTTCCTATTTTTCCCTTTGTCAGACATAGTAAAAACCTCATAGTCTGTGCCATCTGTTGCCTATTTCCTAACTTATATGTATAGATTGTCCATTTCTTTAATTAGTCCCAGGGTGAGTGCCATCAGGATAAATCTGAGAATTCTGGGTTTTAATTTGTTTCAGATCCTGCCTTGAGATCAAAACACAAGGTATAGAGGTGCTTGGGTGGCTCAGTAGGTTGTGTCTGCCTTCAGCTGAGGTCATGATCCCAAGGTGCTAGGATCAAGTCCCAAATTGGGCTCCCTCCTCAGCGGGAAGTCTGCTTCTCCCTCTCCCTCCCCCCCCTCCCCCCACTCATGCTCTCTCAGTCTCTCTTGCTCTCAAATAAATAAATAAAATCTTTTAACACACACACAGGTATATATTGCATTTCTTTGTAAGTATGTTTTCTTCTGTTTGTGGTTGGGTGTTCTCCTGAAGTAGTCTGCGTCCACACAATCAAAGCCTCTCACTGTCTACACTGCAGACAGTTCTCCCATTTCCAGTCCCACCCACTCACCTTGTGCCAGTCTGAAGAAAGACAGGTGCCTCAGTTGGAGCTACCACAAGTTAAAAATATTCTTTCTAAATGGTGGAGCTTACCTTGCTATTACTTTTAATTTAAGAGCTATATTAGAGATAACTAAATGTATTTACTTCTTAATAAGGAGAAATCATTTTTAATCAATGCATTATGCTGTCTTCAGAGTGATTTAAGTTAAAATTCCATCAAAATGTGGGGTGCGTGAGTGGCTCACTCAGTTAAGCGTGAGACTCTTGATTTCGGCTCAGATCATGATCTCAGGGTCATGAGATAGAGCCCCATGACAGACTATGCTCAGCAGAGTCTGCTTGAGATTCTTTCTCTCCCTCAAATTAATTAATTAAATTTCCATCAAAATGTGATAACTGTTCAGCTATCACAAAGGTAACTGTGGATTACTTTGTGTAGATTTGGACAGCTATGAGGAAAAAGTAGTTT